GCTTTTGGTTTTAATTCTGAATGCATGTTAGGATCAATGACCTCACAACTGCTTTTTTGGCTGAATGGCCACATATTCCCATAGATGCACTCCAAATTCATGCAGAAAGCCTTCCCAGGAGAATGGAGGCTGCAAACACGAAGGGGTGTGAGGGGATGCAACTCTATTTAATGCCCATAGTCTCAGAATTAGATGCCCAACAAATGCATATACATGTGATGTAATGGAATATTATGTTGCCAAAGCAAGTAAAAGTAAAGTGTGTATTATATTATTTGCATCTTTGTGTAGCTAACTTGGCAGACCAAACAAAGCTAATGTCAGGAATGGACTTGCCAATAGTGGTGGGACTCACCTGCCTTGTGGGCTGCAGTACCAGGGCTGGCCAGTGGGTGCTCTCAACAACCAGAGGTTCACTTCGGCAATTAGCCATCACCTGGAGCTGATTGCAGGTGTATTTAAGGGATGGCCAGACCTGCAGTCTGTGCCTTGGTGTGTGTTTTTCCATGGGCCCCTGTATCTGCATTCCTGTTCCTGCCTGACTTGTTGCCGATCCTGCCTGATCCTGACCTCTGCTGACTTCTCCTGTTTGATCCCTGGCTTGTGACCCTGACCATTCTCTGCCTGACCCCCTGTACCTACCTGTCCGTTAGTTGCTGAACCCGGCTCGTGACCTGACTACTCTCCGCCTGCTCCTCCTGTACCTACCTGCCCGATAGTTATCGACCCGGCCTGCCTGACTACGTTGTGCTCTATATGTGTATGTACCTGTGTATCTTTATCAGTTTTAGGTTTGGGTTTGTTTCACCTTGTTGTATGTATGTGTGTTAGCTTGGGGTTTGGTGCCCTGTGTTTATATTTGTATTGTTAGTCTTAATAAATTGTCTTATTTATACCATATCTGAAGCCTGCATTTCCCTGTGTCAGTACACACACCTCTGGTCATACCCGGTGCCCTGACAGCTAACTTCTGATAGGTTGCTGTAATGACCAAAATACCTGATATATAGCAAGCATGGCAAATGTAAAATTAGCTCTGCAGCTTCATACCCAGATTTATGCTTCTCTGAAACCAGCGTTACTGCAGGCAGTCAGGTAATTGTATTCTTCAATACTGGATGAGAGATCTGCCAGATAACGGCTGTCCTAACCTTTAACATAATTTAAAGAAAAATAAGCGAAGGATTCTAGAATGTTTGAAACTTGATTGAAATGCTAAAGACCTTGTTTGGTCAATTTAATACATTTTTTTTATACAGTATTGAGTATATGATTGATATTGATTAGTGTCATCATGAAGGCTTGCTCAATAGGAAAAGATACAATGGCTTCATTTTGCTCTATAATTTTTGTTGAAAAGTTGCTGAGAAATGAATGAAAAGACTTGACGCTTCCTACCATGAAGGCCTGGGAAGAAAAGTAACTTACCCCAGTCAATCAGTGTCTTTCTTCTTGGTGATTACTACAGACCAATATGTGACTCCCAGGTACTGAGGTGGTAACTTTGTCTTTCAGTATGCAACATAAAATAAGATATGGTTATCTTGCTGCAGGACCTACGCCAGGCAATTTATTTTATTCTGGATGAGAATTTCTGGTAGAATCTTAAAATGTTGCATGAAGCACATAATCAGTTTTTTTTTAATTGTGGCATACTGTTGGTGGTTACATTGTTATGCAGCTATACGTTAATGGATGGGTCCAACATATAGTGATTATTTACTCTGATTTTGGATATTTACAGAAGGGAGCGCCGTATAAACTTCACCATATTTTTTATATTTTTAGTTCACCCAGTAATAACATAGCAGCTGAATTATGTTTTTTATAGCTGATTGGATTAAGGTTGAGGAATCTGTTATAATTCGTTCAGGTGTAAAAGTGCAGGTGATGTGTCTGTAGCAAATTATTATTTATTTATTACAGGTACTTATATAGCACCATCAATTTACGCAACACTTTACATATACTGTACATTCACTAACCCTCAAGGAGTGTACAATCTAAGGTCCCTAACTCACATTCATACATACTAGGGCCAATTTATACAGGAACCAATTAACCTACCAGCATGTCTTTGGAGTAGGGGAGGAAACCCACACAAGCACAGGGGCAACATGCAAACTCCAGGCAGGTGGTACCATGGTTGGGATTTGAACCAACAATCCTAGTACTACCAGACTGAAATGCTAACCATTTAGCCACTGTGCTGCAAATATCACATTTCCAGCATTATAGAGTACTGCTTAAGCTTGAAGAAGGGGGTACACTCCAAAAACTTGTACTGAAAATCTGGATGTTAATGCAAATAAAAAATGTATCATGGACAGTACTCAATTGTTTTTCTTGCAAGTGCAACAATATGGCTACAGTCCTCTCAAGCAATATTCTCCCCCCTCAAAACTGAAGCTGGTTGTGCATTTCATGCCATAATGTGCAAGTATACACACTACTTAAATGTTATGGCAAACCTACCTACTAGTGTGCTTTCCTTCAGTGTTCTCGGGTCCAGGCTTGATAAAGCCACTCTGTTTCTTGCCACTGTCAACTTCTCCACCACTTGTTTTGGATTAGGTGGCTTTCCTCCTTGATCATTGGGTGACCACCGATAATCCATACGCAATGGAGTTCCAGTGTCCCACCATCCAACTTTGTTCTGGGCATGTTACACATGCTGAAAATGGCCTGGGGAGTATATTCTGCACAGCACATGTGTACACAAAGTAAAACAATTGCTATGAGCCAGGGAAAGAAGTTTTTAGGCAGTAGAAAAAACTCTACCTCCCAGCACTTTTTGTTTCCAGACTTTAGTTTCTACTTTAAAGAGGAATTAAAATAAAAATGCATGTGCTGGAGTAACATTGTCACGGCCCACCCAATCGAGTGGCTGAAGAGTCTAAACCTGGAAGGAAGATCAGGAGAAGATGGAACTGACCGCGTCAAGAGGAGATCGCTGACACCGCACCGCTGAAGGGAATTTGACAGCTAAATCTGCCATAATGTCTAATATGTGGTGCATATTAACACATTATGGCAAAGCTTGCCCGTTTTTTTTTTTTTTTTTAACTTTTGTATACAAAGGTTTCATTTTGCTTTACTCACAAAAGTTCAGCTAACCCAAAAGAAGTAGCCTACATCACCCAATAAGATTTCAGGTTATTGTAGCCAGATAAATAAACCATACATTCTGCTTAGTTGCACTTCTGAATTTCCAAATTTTTATTTTTATTGGTTGCCATGAGTTCTTCACACCACAATAAACAAAAACGCACTATATTTTACTTTTAACTCAATAAGTGAGCCTCATTCATTGTGTGTTTAAGGTAAGAATTCTTTCCGGCAGTGTCCATTTCATCTAGCCGCATGTTCCTTTTCACTCTTCCATAATGTATTGGTGGAAGAAAAAGAAAAATATGATCGGTTGCTATGAACAATGTAAACTGAGATCATTTTTTTCCTTCAGTCCTATGAAAAATGAGGGCTATAATAAAGAAAACGATGTCTCATGGTGGCTGATCATATGAAATTCTTATGTGAAGACCTCTTAAGATAACTGCTGGCAAAGACAAGTCATAAAACCAGTAAGATAAACAAATGCACCAACTATATAATAAAATAGAAAGCTGTGTGCTCCTCCAGCTTATGATCCTTTTTATCTACCATTTAAATGGTTACATTTTATGGCTGTCATGGCTTTAAATAGCTACAAACCTGAAATATAATCTTTGTCACAGGTTTGTAGAAATTCACGAAGACAGACACTAAAAACAAAGGGAATTATTGCAATATTTCAACTGAAGGTTCACTCATACTGAAGCAAGGTAACATGTTAAAAGGGAAGTATGGCCAAAGCTCATTTGATACTACTTCTCATGTGGGTCACAGGAGTGCACTAAGTTCTGCACTCCTGTGACCCAGAATCATCCAACAGTGGGCCAAAGTCAAAGAGACACTCCAGACTCTAGGTGTATCCCAACAATAGTGTCAGAATCTACCTAGATGCCTTACAGGCAGCTGGCTTAGCCTCTCAAGGTACCGCTGAAAACCTAAGCTGGCAGCTCCGGCCCACTCCCCAGCCCAGCGCTTCATTGAGTGCTACAGAAAGCAGTGACTGACAGTAACTGGCTCTCTGCTCAAAGCGAACCAAGAACTGAGTGATCAGTGATCATGTGATCGATCAATTCTCAGGCTTCAGGGGACAGCTTGCAGCATCGAAGATGCTGCAGGAAGTAGGTAAGTATGTTTTTTTTTTATACTCCTGCACTTTTACTTTAGAGTAAGTAGGAATTCATCATACTGAGAGTTTTAATTTCCCTAAAGTTTCAGGTAAAATCATTAGATTCAGTAGCAGTAAAGGAGTAGCCACTTTGACAGCCACTTTCTGTCTACATCCATCCCAGCGATAGTGGCATGACACTTCTCAGGATGGGTTTTTGATGGTGGAAAAAGTGGATCATGCCTAAGTAATGTGTTTTTGAAACAGCCACTTGTAGTCTCCATCAAAAGTAGTGTGGCAGGGTGACAGTGCTGGGCTGCAGTTAGGAGGAAGGGACAGGTTGCTGTCACGCTATAACAGTTAGTGCTGAAACAAGGATCTTCCTGGCAGGATCAACAGGTATTATTTTAATGAAAATATTGAATGTGACTTTTCAAATTACATGAACATGTTAAAGCGTGTATGAGAGTTTTTAAGGATTGGTTTTACATATACTTCACCCAAGGTACCAAACCTGACGCCCCTGCAGACGATATTCTGCTTTTTAGTGCTTACCCAAGTCAATGCAGATAATAGTTTTTTTTTACACTGGCCCTGAATAGTTAAACATGTGGTTTATTTATTTCACACTATCTTTCTTTCTCTGTACTGTCAATCCTTTTTCTCTTGGTATGCTTTTTTAATTGGTATTTAATATGGATCTTACTGAGAGAAAACTTTTAAGGAAGTTGTTAATCGCACAAATTTGGGAGCATTTATTTGTAAATAGTGGAAATAGCAGTGGTCTCTAGCAGTCTCACGTAACCTGTCACATGTCTGCAGTCTCTGACCATCTCCTGTTATATGTCTGCAGTCTCTGACCATCTTCTGTAGCATGTTTGTAGTCTCTGAACATCTTCTGTTATATCTCTGCAGTTTCCAACCATCTCTTGTAGCATGTCTGCAGTCTCTGACCATCTCCTGTTACATGTTTGCTGTCTCTGACCATTCACTGTTACATGTCTGCAGTCTCTTACCATATCGTATAGCATGTCCGCAACAACTGACCACCTTGTTACATGTTTGTTGCACCCTCCTAGCTAGGGTGCTAGGTAAGTTTAGTTTTGTGGCTTGCTTTGTAATCAGTGGAACAATGATTGTTTAGTTTATCCTGTTCAGGGTTTCACAGATTTGGAGTTTGAAACTATCACCTGCCTCTAGAAGACGTTTCTAGAGTTTAGGGAGGGAGAATTCAAATAACCAGCCTGAATATTTAGCAGGACCTGGCCAATACCTGGGGAGGTGTGCTCAGAGGGTGGTTGGAGATGCTGTTGAATAGTCTGCAGCCCCGAGGAGATTGTATTTTTATCTCCCCTGTGGGGATGGATCTGTGAGTTGAGAGGGAACTGATTTGCTAGGTTCAGGGGCTATCTGCCCCTGGAGCACCTCTGGATTGGCTGGTGGACTACTCTTCTATGGACAGAGTCCATGGACTTGTTCTCTATCCTCAAGATCTGTAAGTAGAACTTAATTCCTGTGCTGCAGTTTATCCATGGTCTCCAGCTGTGGATGATTGAACTGTTCCAGTCTGCCTATTTGTGCTGCAAACTGTCTTGTGGTCCCCAAATGCAAGAATTAAGACTGTTCTAGTCTACAACCTTGTGCTATATGTTCCTGCATGGTCTTCAGCTGTGCACCCATAGACTGTCCAAGCCTACAACTACTCGTGCTATATGTTCCTGCATGATCTTCAGCTGTGCACCCATAGACTGTCCAAGGCTACAAACTACTTGTGCTATATGTTCCTGCATGGTCTTCAGCTGTGCACCCATAGACTGTCCAAGTCTACAACTACTCGTGCTATATGTTCTTGCATGGTCTTCAGTGGTGCACCCATAGACTGTCCTAATATATATCTATTCATTCTATATGCTCCTGCATGGTCATTATTTGTGCACCTACAGACTGCACTAATCAAACTGTCATTGTGCTACTGATAAAGAAATGTCCTCTGCAAACTGTGCTTGGCATTTTGGAGTATTCCACCCATTGGTGTATTTAGGTTTTGTGCTGCCCTAGGCAACACAAAATTCAGACGCCCTCCGCCCAGCAGAGAGCCTCACACTGACCAATACCAGACATCATCCCCCGCGGAGAGAGAGCCTGACAATGACCAGCAACACCCCTGCCCCATCCCCCCACCCAGGAGAACCTTCCAGGAAAATTCATCACCCCCCCCCCCCCCCAGCGACAGAGACGCACCTTCACTGCTCTGGACATCCCTGGAAATGACAGTTGGGCTCTGCATACACCATCAAGCAGCCTGCAGCCACTCTTGGATTCCACCTGGTCCCCATGCTGCATATGTCCCTTCTTCCAGGGGGGCAGTGCTGCCCCCCTAAAAAATGCCGCCCTAGGCAAATGCCTTGTATGCCTTGTGGTAAATACGCCCCTGATTCCACCAACCACTCTAGCCTCTCCTGTTACAAGTTTCTTCAGCAATAAATTACAAAAACACATCCCCTAGCCTAGACTGATTTTTGAACTAGAGTGAATGGACTGTTGCTGTGTGCCTGGTTGCCTTTGCACTGTTTTGGGAAAAAAACATGTCTTAAGCCAGCCATAGATGGAGCGATTTTTTTTTTTCCTGCAACCTCAGGTTGCAGGAAAGAAAATCACTTGATTACCTCATCAACACAGGAAATCTTTCCCATGGAGCCATTGTTTTCTCCCAGGTGGGGGGCAGGGTGAGCCATCCCCTCTGGGAGAACACACTGATTACTGCTGTTAGCTATAAAAGCTGCTAGCAATAATCACATGTAAGATCAAACAGGCTGATTGTACCCAAATTGATCAATTGATCAACTTGGGTACAGTCATCCTGTCCATACATGGTTCGAATCTTGGCCAGTCCCTGCTGAACCAACCGAGATTCGATCAGTCTATGACTGGCTTTACCAGTGGCTCCTACAGGGGTAGCACTACATGTCTATAGTCTCTGACCATCTCCTGTTACATTTCTGCAGTCTGACAACTTACTTACATGCACTGAATGCGACCCTTTGGTAATGTGAGTGGCCCTTGCTTTAGGTAAGTTGGCCTAGGTACAGGTGTAATCATTGTATCTCCTCTATACAAAGTATTTATGAGCAGCACAGTGGTTAAATGGTTAGCACATCTGCCTGGCAGTACTAGGGTTGTTGCTTCGAATCCCAACCACGACACTACCTGCCTGGAGTTTGCATGTTCTCCCTGTGCCTGTGTGGGTTTGCTCGCACACTCCAAAGACATACTGATAGGTAACTTGGTCCTACTATGTGTATGTATGAATGTAAGCTAGGGCTGTTAGATTGTACACCCCTTGAGGGTTAGGGACTGATGTGAATGTACAATATATATGTAAAGTGCTGCGTAAATTGACAGTGCTATAGAAGTACCTGTCATAAATTAAATAAATACATTTATAAAATCAACAGTAGCCAACACTCCTCTGATCTGTAGCATGAGATGACTTTCTTGTAAGTCGAAATACGCCATACCATCCAATGAAAAATTAGGAGAATTCCTTACTATTACGTTGTCAGTAAAAATTTAACTTAGGCGATTTTACCGCTCCGAGGAAACATCCTGAAAATCATTCTAAACGGCACTGGCTGCAATCCAGATAATGATATTTCCAATGCACGGGGCAAACACTACTCACAGCTCTTTCTCAGTCATAAAATGTTAGCCTTTATCTCTGTTTATTTTTCTGCTTCTCTTTAATTTGGCCTAATGGACTTCGTCCTGAACTCTTCCCCAGCACTCAAGAGAAATGTAAACTCTGGGAAAGCCCTGAGGAGCTTAATAGGTGCAATTAACATTTTGGGGGCTTTATAAAGTGATTTACATCTCAAGCTCTTAACCCAGCCTTTGCCAGATTGGTGCAGTTGAAAGTCCTGTCATAGGAGAGCTTTGATTCCATTAAATTAGGTGGAAATATCTGGCTGTATTTAGGAAACACAGCTGTGCTATGTATGGAGAGTATATCAGATAGAACCCCCTTCAGCCCCCTTTCACTTCATGATTCCTGCTTTGAAATAATAGATTTTTTTAAAATGAAAATATTTTCTTGATTTATATAAAACCAATTCCACATAGCAGTGATTCTTGTCTGTCCTGTCCTAGAGGAGCCTCTATGGACCCAACACAGATTCCCCCACACATACTTATCATACAAGTCTTAAAGTGGAGCTAAATTCTCTCAATCAAAATGAACTATTTTAATCGTAATGGTTGTAGCATAAGTAAAGAGATAGGAAGATATATTATATATATTTTATTTACTCATTTTAACCTCTTCTTGCCAACTGTACACATATATATTCAGCCATGAAAATGGGTCTTTATTTGTGGAGCTGCATATATGTGTACTTGTGTTTGTGCTATGAGTGCATTGCACAGTGCATTTCCAGCACTGAGACTGGGTTCATACCGAGGGCCCTGGGTCCTGTATTAACGATCATGAACTGAGAGTCCCAGTCCCAATCACCTGATAACTTTGTTAGCCTCTGATTGGCTATCACGATGATCAGTCCCTGTACAGCCTGTCCCTCTGTGGTTTTTCTCCTCTTAAATGGAGAAAAAGATACAGTACATTTTTCTCTTTGCTAGAGGAGAAAAGTATAAACACTGAAGTGTGTTAAAAAATTATAAAAAATAAAGATAAAAAAGCTAGATCAAGGTCAGGGCTAGGGTTAGGGGCACAGGTCATGTCAGAGTCAAAGGTTGAGGTCAAAGGTCATCATCAGTGTATTTTAGGTAGGATTAGATTAACCACTTAAGGATCGCCCTATATACTGATATACTGCTACAGGGTGGCCACTGTGTGCAAAATCACGTATATATACGTGATTTTGCATTTTGTTTTAGCAAAGACATGTCACAGAATACATTTTGGCCTAAATTTATGACAAAATTAGATTTTTTAAAGTTTTTACTGAACATGTTTAATAGCAAAAGGTCCACAATATTGTTTTTTTCTCAAAATTGTCGTTCTTTTTTTGCTTATATCGCAAAAAATAAAAACCTCTCAGGCAATCAAATATCACTGAAAGAAAGCTCAATTTGTGGGAAAAAAAAAAAAGGACGGAAATTTCATTTGGGTGCAGCGTTGCATGAATTGTCAGTTAAGTAACGCAAAAAATGGCCTGGTCATGAAGGGGGGTAAATCCTCAGGAGGGCAAAAGGTGGTTAAAAGAAAGCATTTTTTAAATTAGTATTGGTGTCAGTGTGTTTTAGGTAGAAGAAAAAAAAAAAAGAAAAATGCACACTATTGTTTCTGAGCCCTACTACGGGTACAGACAACAAATGAATTAACAGTTTTGTGCGGCGCTTACTGGGATTCTCTATAAGGTGCCAATACAAAGGATCATTATATGAGGACCATACTGTAGTGCAAATCTGCAGAAAGTGCCACGTAAATACTAAAAAAGCATATAACCATACCAGCATATCTCTAAATAAACATAAAAACCTTGTGCTAAAAAGTGAAACAAAATTGTTTTGCTTAAAAATGTGCAATCTTCCTTATAGTCAATAAACCATCCATATAAAGTCCCAATAACAATATGTTCATATACATTTGTGCAAAATAGTGACTTGTGCCAATAACGTCACTGTCTTAAACCGTACTCTCCACTCCTCGCACAACCTCCTGCTCCCTTGTCTCCTCCTCCCATGCTTATCTGCAGGACTTCTCCAGAGCTTCCTCCATCCTCTGGAACTCTCTACCCCAATTTATCAGACTATCGCCTACTCTGCTCACTTTTAGGCGATCTCTGAAAACTTATCTCTTCAGGCAAGCCTATCCTGCCCTCAGCTAATAATGGAATCTTCTATTCTTCCCCCACAGTTACTACCTTTTGTACCGCTAGCCCCTCCCTCTTAGATTGTAAGCTCAAAGGAGCAGGGCCCTCCTATCCCTCTTGTATTGAACTGTATTGTTGCTGTATTGTCTCCTGTTATATTGTAAAGTGCTGAGCAAACTGTTGGCGCTATATAAATCCTGTATATTAATAATAATAATGTGCTCCCCTCCTTTTCCACCACACTCACCCAATTGTAATGGCCTCTTATAAGCTATAAGAAGGTTTCAAGTGCTTTGATATGGGTACTCTCCCCTCTCCTAGATCTGGTGTCACCGCTCTTGCAGAAAGTTTTGCTCTGGTATCCTCCAATGGGCGTGCATGTGAGGGGAAAACAAAACCAGAGGCAGCCTCCAATAGCATAATTACATTTTATTTTAGGATATAAAAGCAATTAAAATCCATTTACAATGTTAAAATGCTTGCATGGTTCACAAGCAACAATGCATAAGCTACTTCCTGTAATGATCTGCATTACGCCAACAGGAAATATGGAAGTGGAAGTGATGCAACAAACCCCCGCCCTTGCATGGTTCACAAGCGACAGCACATAAACTACTTCCCGGAACGATCTGAATTCCACCAACAGGAAGTGTGGAAGTGATGCAACAAACCCACCCTTGCAACCATTTTAATATTGTAAGTGGATTTTAGTAGATTTTATATCCTAAAATAAAATGGAATTACGCTATTGGAGGCTGCCTCTGGTTTTGTTTTCCCCTCACATGCACACACCCCAGCGGAAAAGCTTTCTGCAAAAGCAGTGACACCGGAGTCAGGAGAGGGAAGAGTACCCATATCAAAACACTTGAGACCTTCTTATAGCTTATAAGAGGTCATTACAGTTTGTGTGAGTGTGGTGGAAAAGGAGGGGAACACGGAGTGTTTTGCACATTATTGAAGACAGTGAAATTATTGGCACAAATCACTTTGTATTGCACAAATTTATACACTGCTCAAAAAAATGAAAGGAACACTTTGAAAACACATCAGATCTCAATGTGGATAAATATCATGCTGGATATATATACTGATATGGACTGGGTAATGGGTTTGGAACATAAGGATTCACCATCGTTTGCTGGAAATTAAAATTATTCAAAGACACCCTGAAAATCAAAGTGAAAAAATGATGCAGCAGGCTAATCTATTTTGCTGAAATTTCATTGCAGCAACTAAAAATGGTACTCAGTAGTTTGTATGGCCTCCATGTGCTTGTATGCATGCCTGACAACATCGAGGCATGCTCCTAATGAGACAACGGATGGTGTCCTGGGGTATTTCCTCCCAGATCTGGACCAGGACATCGCTGAGCTCCTGGACAGTCTGAGGTGCAACCTGGCGTCTTCGGATGGACCAAAACATGATATCCCAGAGGTGTTCTATTGTATTTAGGTCAGGCGAGCGTGTGAGCCATTCATTGGTATCAATTCCTTCACCCTCCAGGAACTGCCTGCATACTCTCGCCACATGAGGCCAGGTATTGTCATGCACCAGGAGGAACCCAGGACCCACTGCACCAGCATAGGGAAAAACTGATGTGAACTGAACTTTTTTCTTGGAAACAACATGACCGAACTGATGAAAAAAATGGAACACCTGTGTGAAGGGGGCCTAACCAAAACCTGGAAGGTGATTGGCAACTATGCACAGCTGCATCAGATTCTGTGTGCGCTACTTCTAGTAAATTTCCCCCACTAAAGCTGGGCATACATGGGTTTGAATTCTGAAAGAATTTTCTTTTGAAAATTTGTTCTAAGAATTTTTGTCAGAAATGACTGATTTTAGTGTGACCATCGAATTTGAGTGATTGGGCATGTTGGAAATATTTTGAAAACTGAACGAATTTCAAATCAATAATGGGAGAATCATACAGGAAATATAAAAACGGATTACAAAACGCACAAAATTTCCAATTTTCTAAAGAAAATTTGTTCGGAATTCGACCCATGTATGGCCTGCATAAGTAGTTGTGATGATATGTACAGTTTTACTAGCACATGTCAAAGTTGCAAAAATGTGTTTACCAGTCAGTGTCCCTGATCACCGCCACACCAGCTATATGATGACACCGTATTGCTATGGCAACAGAATGTTTAAACCCTTTTTAAAAATTGTGAAAAATACTTTTTTAGTTTCTTCATTTTCCAAGCAATTGTGAAAAAAAAAATTACAACTTCAAAAAACCTGCCATGTCTCTTACTAAATACCTTGGTCTGTCTACTTTCCAAGAAGGGGTCATTTGGAGTTTATTTGTACTGTCCTGGCATTTTTGGGCCTCAATGAGATAGGCCCCCAGTATAGAAGGCCTGATCGATTTTCAAATATTCTGTATATACCATAGTTTGTGGACTTTATAACTTTGCTGCAGACTAAATAATATACACTGAGTTGGATAATTTTCACCAAAGAAATGTAGCAGTATAAATTTTGGCCTAAATTTATGAAAAAAGATTATTTATCTGCAAAATTTTATAACAGGAACATAGAAAAACGCATTTAAAAATTTAAAAGTCTTTTTTTGTTTATTTAGCAACATTTTTTTAAAAAGCGATGATTAAATACCACCAAAAGAAAGCTCGATTTGTCTGAAAAAAAACTGGTAAAAATGTTATATAGGTACAGTGTTGCATGACCGCGCAATTGTCAGTCAAGGTGTGACAGTATTGAATGCTGAAAATTGGCCTGGGCAGAAAGGGGGTAAAAGTGTCCGATACTGAAGTGGTTAAACAGTAGATAACCGCTGCTTTAAAAAATTCTGTCCTCAATCACTTGCAGGACATAGAAAGAAATGCTCGATTTTAGTGAATTTCTGAACAAAGTTTACTGCTGTGAGAACTCTGAGAATAAAGGCAAAATCACTGGCTATAAATCTACTACGTGGGAAGTGCAGTATATGTTGTAAGTTCCTGTCGCCCTATGCTTCCTAGGAGAAGGCTAGTTTGGAAAGTTCCCAGAAAGATAATAATTAAAACCTCTTTTCTATCTTTTTATATGTGCCTTAAAGTCCTTTCATCAAAATAATGGATCTGCTCCCCCCCCATAAAAAAGGTTTCCAATGAAAAAAAAAACAGGAGAAAAAAAATGAAAGTGTATATAAAATAACAATACATTGCAACTTACCAGTCCTTAGATGTGGCAACTGCATTAGTGTTCATTTTTTAGGCTTTTTTTCCTTTTATTTTCACCTGGTGAAGGTAATAATTCCCTGTCCCAAAGTGACATTGCTCGCTCACCATTCTGTACCTATACTGTAGAAATGCCATATTGCCAACTTAGGACACAGCGACAGTAACCTCCTCTTATTCCTCTTTTCAATGAACAAAGGGAAGGAGGTTCTGTAGTCCTCAGGGATCCCTGAGAACAATGTAACTGATTACAGTACAATAGAGGCAGAAACTACAGAAAGCTATCAACTGACAAGATTTTTGAAAGGATCTGCAGGTATTTTTTCACTTTTCCAATAGATATAACCAAACATTTTCAATGGTACTGTATATTTGGCTGATGAAAAGTGTACAAATACGGGAAGTTGGTTGTTAGGGTTTATGTAACCTTCAACTTATACTTTGGTTTCCACCCACATTGTCTATTTGAGGGTGACATAGCAATCCCTCCAGCAAGTTCCCATGAAAGCTGGGAATCACAAATCTTGTGAAAAGATGCTCTAGCTTGGTGTGCCCAATGCAGCAATGGGCAGAAATTGACTCAAAGGATAAGTGGACCTTGCATTTTTATGCAGGCTCTGCTTTAACCACTTGCCGACCACTGTATAGCCAAAAGACGGCTACAGCATGGCTTTCCAGTTTTGGGAGGAGGTCCATGGACATCCTCCCACGTGCGTGCCCCCTGCATTATCAGTGCCCATCAGTGCCAATCAGTACAGCCTCATTAGTGCTGCCTCAGTGCTGCTTTATCAGTGCCCATCTGTGCAGCTTCATCAATGCCCATCAGTTTACATCAGCGCAGCCTCATCAAAATTTTATAACAGAAAGTAAGAAAAACTTTTAAAATTTTATTTGTTATTTTGTTTAGCAAAAAAATAAAAATTCCAGCGGTGAATAAAGCGGTAGTAAACCGCACTTAAAAAAAAAAAAAAGAAACGTTTTCCCCTGCAAGGTAATGTCATAATGTGGTAGTGTGCATCACATACTAACACATTATGAAGGGCTTACATTAAAACGAAGTCTTCCAGCGGCACGCTGTTACCACTGCAGAGGCTTCCATCTTCACCCGGTCTTCCTTCCAGGATCACGAGCTCTGGCCAACCGACATAGAATGCATGAAGGTAGAAAACCTGGAGCTTTTAGAACGACTTTAATCCTTTGATTGTCCCAGATGTTAACCACTTCCTGTCCAATGTCTTTAGTACACTGTGAGTCCAGTTTATTAGCACTGATCACTGTATAAGGGCTCGTTCACACTAGGCTGTTTTGCCAACGCTTGCCAAACGCCCCTATAGCGTTTGGCAAGCGTTGGTCCGGTGTTTGCGGAGCGTTTTTAACGCTCGGCAAACGCTCCGCAAACGCCGCATGCGCGGTTTAGCGGAGGTTGCTAGGCGTTTGCCGAGCGTTAATAACGCCCCACAAACGCCTATAATGCATTTGAGTGGTGTTTACCGCTCCGCAAACGCCCCGCAACCGCACCGCAAACGCCGGCCGGGCGTTTTGCGGAGCGGCACCATAGACGAGAATAGGAGGCTTCAAAGCCTCCTGACTCGACCAGAGGCGTCCGTTTTGCCGCGACGCGACGCAAACGCTCCCGTTAGAACAGCACCATGTGCTGTAATGTGCAGAATTGGCAGAGGCGTTTGGGAAGCGGTAAAAATGCTTCCCAAACGCCTCTCTGCCGCCTGCACACAAGGCTAGTGTGAACGTAGCCTTAGTGTCACTGGTCATGTCAGTGCTAGTTAGCCAGTGTCAGAATGCCTGCCTGACTATCACAGTCCCGCTATAAGTCGCTTATAGCCACCATCACTAGCATACAAACCAGGGGCGTACTGACAACTCATTGGGCCCCCCCCGGGCAATAGGGGATCATGGGGCCCCTGTGTCCTTGCCCAAACTCAAAAAAACCTATGAAAAAGGTACCAGAGGCATCTCATGGGGCCCCCTACTGACCCCCCCGGGCAATAGGGGATCATGGGGCCCCTGTGTCCTTGCCCCAATTCAAAAAAGCCTATGAAAAAGGTACCAGGGGCATCTCATGGGGCCTCTACTGATCCCGGGCTCTCGGGCAGTGCCCGAGGTTTCCAAATGGTGAGTCCGCCCCTGATACAAACAAAAGTCCAGTATATATACCATCATCTGTGAATGCTATAATTTTCAAGCAAACCAATTAATATACACTTATTGGGATTTCTTTTTACCAAAGACGTGTAGCAGAACACATTTTGGCTTAAATGTATGAAGAAATATAGTTTTATAGCAAAAAGTAAAAAAATTTTTTTTATATTTTTGATCTTTTTTCATTTGAAAAATTAAAAACTCAGTAGTGATCAAATACCACCAAAAGAAAGCTCTATTTGTGTGAAAAAAGATCTAAATTTCATTTGTGTACAGTGTTGCATGTCCGTGCAATTGTCAGTTAAAGTAGCGCAGCATGGCATAGCATGGCATAGCAAAACATGGCCTGGTCATGAAGGGGGGGTAATCCTCCGAAGGGTAAGTGGTTATTAGATCATAAATTGTGTTTTAAAGTTAAGAAATGAGTAAGAATATGGTATCAGAAGGTTGGGTGAAATATGTCATGCATAAAGGTTTGAATGGTGTTTTAAAATTGGAGTCTTTGCCTGTACAGCACTAAAATATAATACAATCAATAGGTCTTGTTCCCTGTGTTCTCACTAAAAATCCATCATTGTATCTCAGAAGAGGTCAGAGCAAAGTGTGTTTGAAAAGTTCTCGCATTTCTCAAGTGAACTAAAACAAATGTAGATAGCAAAATTTGCTTCAGAACTTCGATTTTCAATCTCTGGCCACCAGTAAAGCTCATCTCATAGCAAAATCAATTGCCTCAGTCCCTCCTGCCCATTAACAAACTGGAAAAAAACCTCACCTTTTATATTTACCTGTATATGCTGTCATCTGATCCTCTGTGGTGTCTCTTGGAGCTAAGATTGGTGATCTGCAGTTGCAGTCCCACTGCCTGGTCTTGTTGCTGCCCCCTTGTGTCGTGATGTCAACCTCACTCCTGCTTGAAGTCCTCAGGTCCCTATGCACTCTTCTCACAGCCAGTATATGACGTGTTCACATCATTAGGGAGCAACTGTAGGCAAGTGAAAAAGGACTTTTCCATACCAAAGACCAGAAGAAAGGATACTCTTCACTTGGTTCATCATGTGATCACAGATTCAGGTAAGAATATTGGGGCATTAAGGTAAATGAAAAAAAAATAAACGATGTATACTAGTTGAAGGGGATGTTATGGGTTACTTTTTACTCCCTGCCTGGAAAACAGCTTTAACGAAGATGAGCAAACACTTAAAAATCCCCTGGCGACATTGTTGCCCCTTGGTCCCGATACAAACTTAAATTGAATCTGGTCTCCTCTGTCTCTCCAGGTGCATCATTTTTTGGTGACCCGAATTTTATTTCGGCATTTTCCTCTCTACAGACGTTTCAATGGTGGTATGATAGATCTTTTATCAGGTTATCTGATTTTCAAAGAGGAGGATCTTATGTCACCTTTGAGATGCTACGTATACTTTTTGATATCCCTCTTTGGGAATATCATTTTTTTTAATTCACAATTTGGCCTTATACCTTCTTCTCCGATTTCGTTCTTTGAACGCATTAGCCGTGACTCTCCCAGGGGCAAGGGTCTTATTTCTGATTTGTATCACCAACTTCTGGTTGGTTCCTTTCCCACACCCCCTCTATATAGACAAAAATGGGAAGCTGATAGTGGTATCACCTTTTCGGATGAGGACTGGGAATCCATGATAGATAACATACGTAAGAGCTCTAGATCTCTCTCTGTCCGGGAGACAGCCCTTAAGGTACGTATTAACCAGATGGTATTATACCCCATCTAGACTACATGCCCTGTATCCAGGGACCTCTCACTTATGCTTCCGGGGCTGTGGCCTTGCCGGTACTCTGGTGCATACATTCTGGGCTTGCCCAGTTCTCTCCTTGGTGTGGCATAAGATCTCTGAGGTAGCTTCCGCACTGGTGGGTACCCGGTGCATCTGGCTATGCAGTCCTGCCTATTGGGAGCTCATATCCTGGGTGTTCAGACTGAGGGTATGAGGCTAATCCATACCATTTGCATATCCACCCTATGGGCTACCGCCCTGCACTGGAAATCTACCACAGTACCATTGGCCTCTGTTCTTCACAGAGTTGATGCTGTGATGCTTATGGAAAGAATTCATTATACTTTATTGGACAAGATGCACTTATTTGATAAAAAATGGGAAGTTTGGAAAACACAGACATTTACTATATGACTAAAGGCATTCCTTATTTGGGTTGATTGACTTACTCTGTTCGTAGGTGTATAACTCTGCCTATCTCTTAATTTATATTGCTCATGTACTTAAACTCTATTTCCTCTTCTTCTTTTATCTTTTTCTTTAATCTATATGATTGTGCCTTTTTGAAATGTACACCTCAGTCATGCCTTGTTACTGTTTTACACACCGTTTGAAGTTGTAATATCATTGTACAGTCTACTTCTTGAAAAATAAAATTGTTTATAAACAAAAAAAAAAAATCCCCTGGCGATTCAACCCAATACAACAGGCCACCATTGTTTGAAATTACTAATCTTATAAAATTGTTTATTGAAATGTAAAACTGTGTTTCTGTTTTCAAGAATACTATCCTAGAACACCTAACTTCTGGGCTAGTATAGGGTTTTTGCAGGGCCACAAGCAACAAAGGCTTCTGCTCATTTGACAGTAGTTTGCAATGTCCTCAGAATCAGGAGAATCCTTGAGAAGAAAAAAACAGAAAATATGGGGAAGATGCTGGAAAAAGAGAGCTCCAGACTGTGGGCTTAGAGTGTGGGCCAAAAAGTCCACCGGAACAAAAAGCTGAGGTGGCCTTGGTACATAGAAAAATCTTTTTTTATCATTTAAGCCTTCAAAGTCCACATTTACCCCTTTCATTAGCAGTCATAAAGTCTTAATGAAGGGAGGCTTTTTGCAGCCTACAAAATGTATCGGCTTGTTATTGTGTATTTGTTTAACTAAATACTGTAAATATACTTGGACTCTAAGGCATTTGTCTCTTTTTCCTATATCATTTGAATATCATTTGAATCTCACTTGACACACCGCCTAGAATCTGCTTTACTTTTGAAAGCGACCGGAGTTATTATACTCCAAAGTTATTTTACAGTCTCTTCACTGTGAGATTGAATTTGAATTGGATTCAGCTTTTCTGGTTCATGCTTGCATTAAAAATTATGTTCCTCTCAAAGTATCAGCCTAGTGCTAAGCCCAGTGTCTCCTGGATCATTGGTGGCCCAGAAGATGTAGCATGAATTTTGAATTTAATGTGCATTTTACCTGCCCCTTCTGGGCATATGTAGATGGTCTATAGATGAGTTTCAGCTTAAGCTACCTGAGCACTGAAAATATAAAAGCTAAGAGAAAACAGCAAACATGAAAATAAACCTAAATATCCACCTGCTGACTGAATAAAAAAATACAAAATTGTATAATGCAAAATTTCATATTTACCTTTATAAAAACATAGAAAAATCATTCATCTAGTATAGCCTGTATTTTTGTCATTGATAGTGATACATAATTATTCATATATGGTCTATAGATGAATTTCAGCTAAAGTTAGTGATCAGTGTAAACAAAAGGCATTTTACAACAAAGGAGCTAAGCTGATACAAGAAAAATGAAAAAGAGAGTAAATCTCCTCCTGCTGGCTGGATATAAGATTATGTTTTAATATGCATTTAAAACATAACGAATGCATAAGACACTGTGAATTATACACCCTTAATCCTATAAGGTAGTATACACATAGAGAACCGATTCATAGCTATTGACTTTTTAAGGGACATATAGAAAAAAACAAAAACACTGATCTAAAAGCAGACATTTTTGTTGTTTAACATTAAAATCAAGAAAAAGACTCTACAAAAGTCATTAAAAATACGTCTGCTTTTAGGTTCACAGGTGTTTCGAATGAACTTCCCAAAGAGTACTTGTGTAAAGAATTGATAGGATGGAACCCAGTTACTATTTGGAGCTACAAAGTACAATATCGGCTGAAAATAAACATCACGTGAGGTATCATCATCCCCTCTGGAGTAGCATGAACACCAAACAAGTAAAAGGCCTCCATTTTCAAAATTGTGCATTATTCAAACTTTGGTAAGTATAATAGATGTATGTCTCAAATACAGTGTCCTAAAAAAACCCGACAGAAATAGGCAGTGTGCAGGTAATTGTTCATCACAAGCAGAAGTGGATCAAGGTACAAGTTGTAAGCCAGGGGTCCTCAAACTTTTTAAACAGGGGGCCAGTTCACTGTCCCTCAGACCATTGGAGGGCCAGACTATAGTTTAAAAAAAAAACCAAAAAAACTATTAACAAATGCGGACACAGTACAGGAGATGACCAGAGACTGCGGACACGGTACAGGAGATGACCAGAGACTGCGGACACAGTACAGGAGATGACCAGAGACTGCGGACACAGTACAGGAGATGACCAGAGACTGCGGACACGGTACAGGAGATGACAAGAGACTGCGGACAGTACAGAGGATGACCAGAGACTGCGGACATAGTACAGGAAATGACCAGAGACTGCGGACAGTACAGGGGATGACTAGAGACTGCGGACATAATACAGGGAATGACCAGACTGCGGACACGGTACAGGGAATGACCAGAGACTGCGGACATAGTACAGGAGATGACCAGAGACTGTGGATATGGTACAGGAAATGACCAGAGACTGCGGACACGGTACAGGAGATGACCAGAGACTGCGGACACGGTACAGGAGATGACCAGAGACTGCGGACACGGTACAGGAGATGACCAGAGACTGAGGACACGGTACAGGAGATGACCAGAGACTGCGGACACAGTACAGGAGATGACCAGGCCCTGCAGGCAGGACGGATATATGGCCTCGGCGGGCTGCATGCGGCCTGCGGGCCGTAGTTTGAGGACCCCTGTTGTAAGCCATATTGCCACATCATAATCGTCCACGAATCATCTTTTTTGACATCATTACATCTATGTGAACCTAAAAGCCGACTTATTTTTAATGACTTTTGTAGAGTCTTATTCTTGATTTTAATGTTGTAAAATAATAAAATTTCTGCTTTTATATCAGTGTTTTTGCTTTTCTCTATATGTCCAAAAAGTTGATGACTACGTATCAGTTCTCTGTGTATACAGAAAACAAGAAAGTGACATGATAAATAAAGATATTGCACTAAGTAGATATAGATTGGTAGTATGCATATCGTCCTTAAGAGTGTGGGAATCCAAGGAGCTGCAGAGGTCGGCAGGCAAGTGGCTGGTATAGGCAGAGTTGTGCTAGGAAGTGGCTGGATGTCAGTCTGTCAGTGGCTGGATGGAAGAGTGCGAAGACTGCTGTGATGCTATTTGCAGGAACTCCATTTTATCCGGCTGTATAGAGGCTGCTTCCGGGTCCTCTCGGCGCACTTGGCAAGGATAGCCCAGCAATATCTGGTCTCCTCTGTCTCTCCAGGTGCATCATTTTTTGGTGACCCGAATTTTATTTCGGCATTTTCCTCTCCACAGACGTTCCGATGGTGGTACGATAGATCTTTTATCAGGTTATCTGATTTTCAAAGAGGAGGATCTTACAGTGGGGATCGAAAGTTTGGGCACCCCAGCTAAAAATTTGTATTAATGTACATAAAGAAGCCAAGGAAAGATGGAAAAAATCTCTAAAAGGCTTCAAATTACAGATTAGACATTCTTATAATATGTCAACAAAAGTTAGATTTTATTTCCATCATTTACACTTTCAAAATAACAGAAAACAAAAAAATGGCATCTGCAAAAGTTTGGGCACCCTGCAGAATGTATAGCATGCACTGCCCCCTTTGCCAAGCTGAGACCTGCCAGTGTCATGGATTGTTCTCAATCATCGTCTGGGAAGACCAGGTGATGTCAATCTCAAAGGTTTTAAATGCCCAGACTCATCTGACCTTGCCCCAACAATCAGCACCATGGGTTCTTCTAAGCAGTTGTCTAGAAAACTGAAACTGAAAATAGTTGACGCTAACAAAGCTGGAGAAGGCTATAAGAAGATAGCAAAGTGTTTTCAGATGTCAATATCCTCTGTTCGGAATGTAATTAAGAAATGGCAGTCATCAGGAACAGTGGAAGTTAAAGCAAGATCTGGAAGACCAAGAAAAACATCAGACAGAACAGCTCGCAGGCATGTGAGAAAAACAATTCAAAACCCACGTTTGACTGCACGATCCCTCCAGAAAGATCTGGCAGACACTGGAGTTGTGGTACACTATTCCACTATAAAGAGATACTTGTACAAATATGGTCTTCATGGAAGAGTCATCAGAAGAAAACCTCTTCTACGTCCTCACCACAAAAATCATCATTTGAACTTTGCAAATGAACATATAGACAAGCCTGATGCATTTTGGAAACAAGTTCCGTGGACCGATGAGGTTCAAATTTACTTTTTGGCCGGAATGAGCAAAGGTACGTTTGGAGAAGAAGGGGCACAGAATTTAATGAATAGAACCTCTGTCCAACTGTTAAGCATCGGTTTGGATCAATCATGCTTTGGGGTTGTGTTGCAGCCAGTGGCACAGGGAACATCTCACGAATAGAAGGAAAAATGGATTAAATAAAATTTCAGCAAATTTTGGATGGTAACTTGATGCCATCTGTGAAAAAGCTGAAGTTAAAGAGAGGATGGCTTCTACAAATGGATAATGATCCTAAACACACCTCGAAATCCACGAGGGATTACATCAAGAGGCTTAAACTGAAGGTTTTGCCACGGCCTTCACAATCTCCTGACCTCAACATAATTGAAAATCTATGGATAGACCTTAAAAGAGCAGTGCGTGACAGACAGCCCAGAAATCTCAAAGAACTGGAAGACTTTTGTAAGGAAGAATGGGCAAAGATACCTCAAACAAGAATTGAAAGACTCTTGGCTGGCTACAAAAAGCGTTTACAAGCTGTGATACTTGCCAAAGGGGGCAGTACAAGATATTAACTCTGCAGGGTGCCCAAACTTTTGCAGACGCCATTTTTTTGTTTTCTGTTATTTTGAAAGTGTAAATGATGGAAATAAAATCTAACTTTTGTTGACATATTATAAGAATGTCTAATCTGTAATTTGATGCCTTTTGGAGATTAGATTGGTAGTATGCATATCGTCCTTAAGAGTGTGGGAATCCAAGGAGCTGCAGAGGTCGGCAGGCAAGTGGCTGGTATAGGCAGAGTTGTGCTAGGAAGTGGCTGGATGTCAGTCTGTCAGTGGCTGGATGGAAGAGTGCGAAAACTGCTGTGATGCTATTTGCAGGAACTCCATTTTATCCGGCTGTATAGAGGCTGCTTCCGGGTCCTCTCGGCGCACTTGGCAAGGATAGCCCAGCAATATCTTTATTCATCATGTCACTTGATTTAGCAGTTTACACTCAGATGGAGGCGTCCTCTTGTGCTTGTTTTCTTTTTTGTATATTAGGTACTCAGGACCTGGTTTAGGGGAGCAGCTACCATTCAATTTAATAATTTCTCTTGCTTACTAATTCTCATTATCTGACCATTTCCTGGCTGTCATTTAGGTTTCCCGGCAGCGTTGTACTTCTGTTACAATTTTACTCTATGTGTATACTAACATTCTAATCTGCAGTGTTTCATATTTACCATAAATAAATTATTGGTTTTATTACATAGCTCTGACCGTAATAAATACAAAAAATGTGCATACAATGACTGTGCATTTGCTTTAAAAAAAGAATTTGCCTGTATAAAAAAATACAAAACTGTATAATGCAAAATTTCATATTTACCTTAAAATCATTTACCTCAAAATTAAAATCATTCATCTTGCATTGCCTGTATTTGGATCATTGATAGAGTGATACTTAATAGTTCATACATGGTCTATAGATAAATTTTATCTTAAGTTACTGAGCACAGTAAACAAAAGGCATTTAACAACAAAGGAGCTAAGCAGATACAGGAAATATGAAGAGTAATCTTCATGTCATCACGTACACCCGCCGAGCAGTTTGGAGCTCGGAGCTGTTAGTTCAACCTGCTACTCTGGAAGTTATATTAGCTAGTTTGTGTCACTTGCTTTGTGCGGTTCTTGGAGCTTGATTTTAATGTGACATGTATACTGTTACACAGTGCCACATGGTGACTGTGTTTATCTATATTTAAACGGGTGTCCCATAGGAAATTTTAATAAATACGTTTTTTACTTACTACAGTATGGGTATGTACTGTTTTTATTTTTTGCCAAACTTCTAATGCTGGGGAAGGGATCCCGATGGAGTACGTGCCATGTACCTGGAGAATCGTGGTTAAAGGCTATGTCTAAGTGCTTTTGACTGCATGTTTCACATTGTCTGGTAAGAGGCTCCCTAAATGGTGTCACTTGATGGTGTATGCACATTCTTTTTAACAGGAAGTAGAAGTGTGGGGACACCTTCAGCATTATATAGATTGTGAAAGGACTTTTCCCTGATTTCACATGTTTCTTCACCCTTTGGGACTTTTATTTGGACTGTTAAAGGATTTTCTTTATATTTAAAACATTGGTTCACTTTTATTTGTGAATTATTATTTATATATCATGAATTTTCTTTGTGTTTATATGGTATTTGATTTATCGCTGCATCTTGATATTATTAAAAATAGTTTTTATTTTTTATAGCTCTGACCATAATAAATACTAAAAAATGTGTATACAATGACTGCGCATTTTCTTTAAAAAAAATATTTTGCTTGTACAAGAAAATACAAAACTGTATAATGCAAAATTTCATATTTTACCTTTAAATAACATAGAAAAATAATTCATCTGGTAAAGCTTGTATTTGGATCATTGATAGAGTGATACTTAATAATTCAAAGATGGTCTATAGATGAATTTTATCTTAAGTTACTGAGTGCGGAAACAAAAGGCATTTTACAACAAAGGAGCTAAGCAGATACAGGAAACATGAAAAGGACAGTAATCTGTACCTGCTGGCTGTATATAAGATTACAACATTGTAATATGCAGTGTTTCATATTTACAGTATAAAATATAATTATTTTTTTTATAGCTTTGACCATAATAGAAAACTATGTACAAAAAATTTTTTTTTTCTTTAAAGAATAATTTGCTCATAGTATTTCTCCTGAAAGCTTTCTGAGTATTCATCCAGCATAGCCTGTATTTGGATTATTGGTAATGTAATATTGAGTGATACATTTTGTATTATGGTCTGCACCACGAAGGCAGGCAGTACCAATTACGTGACAAATCCCAGTCCATGGCCAAGTGGATGACAAGACTCCTAACTGCCGGGATGGAGGAGCCAAAACAGTTAGTCAACCTGAGAAACATTGAAAGAACGTTTACTACAAGACAAAAATAAATTTCCTTCATAATCAGAATTTGAAACACATGAATAGCAGACCCACAACGTTATTTTACAAGGTAGTCTTCTTTTTTTTTTTTTCTTCCAGCAGAACTGAAAAATGTATTCCAAACTTATGGAAGGTCTGCCACAATTGTGTACTTCAAACACTTTTCCCTGAAAA